AAAAAAAAAAAAAAAAAATTATTCAATTCTGAAGGTTCTGAATTCAGGTTTGGCAAGTCTAGATCAGATTCCTAACAGTTTCAGTTCCATGAGACTCTGCTTCCAAAAACGGAGGATTTTCTGCATCTGAAGAAGGTGAAGAAGACTTTAGAGAGGCACCTCTGAGCCCTGGTGAAAACCCCGGGGCCTTCGAGGAGGTAGTTTTCTTTTCTTTTCTTTCTTTTCTTTTCTTTTCTTTTTCTTTCTCTCTCTCTTTCTTTCTTTCCTTTTTTTTTTAGACAGAGTTTTGCTCTGTTGCCCAGGCTGGAGTGCAGTGGCACAGTCTCCGCTCAGTGCAACCTCCGCCTCCCGAGTTCAAGCCGTTCTCCTGCCTCAGCCTCCCAAGTAGCTGGGATTACAGGTGTACACCACCATACCTGGCTAATTTTTAGTAGAGACGGGTTTCACCCTGTGTTGGCCAGACTGGTCTTGAACTCCTGACCTCAAGTGATCCACCTGCCTTGGCCTCCCAAAGTGCTGGGACTACGGACATGAGCCACCATGCCCAGCCTTAAGGAGCTAGTTCTGAGCATCTACCCCAGCTCCTCCGGCCTGGAATGCAAGTCCTGGCTCCATCAGTGCCCCTCACACTGTCTTCTCTCCCCTTATGCACTTCCCCTTGATGCTCCCCAACCCCACCCTCAGCTTCTAAACACACTACACTCAGTCCCTCCACCTCTCCCCTCCCTTCCTTAACTCACTGCAGACTGCCTTTTGCCCTCAATACACCTGTTTACCAGCAGCCTCCTCATTGCTGAATCCAGTGTACCTTGCTCCCCAGGTGCTAGCCTCCTTAACCTTCTGGAGGCATTTGGTCATGTGGTCCCTCCTTCTCCATGCAGTTCAGGCCAGAACTCCATGACTGAATCACACAGCCATTCACCAAGACCTATTGACCTCTTTGGCTCTTGCCTAGACGAGAGGTTCCTAACAGGTCACTCATCAAATCTCTCCCCTTTTGTCCATCCTTTTCATCCCGGGCCATTATATATATATATATTTTTGAGACGGAGTCTCGCTCTGTTGCCCAGTCTGGAGTGTGAGTGATCTCGGCTCACTGCAACCACCGCCTCCTGGGTTCAAGGGATTCTCGTGCCTCAGCCTCCTGAGTAGCTGGGATTACAGGTACGTGCCACCATGCCCAGCTAATTTTTTGTATTTTTAGTAGAGGCAGGGTTTTGCCATGTTGGCCAGTCTGATCTTGAACTCTTGACCTCAGATGATCCGCCCACCTCAGCCTCCCAAAGTGCTAGGATTACAGGCGTGAGTCACTGCATGTGGCCCATAACAAACTTCTTACAAAAGACAATGTTGGGGAAGAAAAAAAGAAAATGTGCAGGTCATGTCTCTGCTCTAGAACCTTAGTAGCTCCCCGTTGCTATCAGGTAAAGCCAGACTTTTTGGACAGGTACCTAAACCATCTGGGCTCCAGCTGGACTAAGGCCCTAGACAGAGCTTCTGGAGAAGGGTCTCAGGATTTGCGGGCCTGAGGGAGGAGTCTCTGTAGTCTGCTGAAAGGAGACTCAAGTCCTGGTTTCCCACTCCAGGAAACCCCAGTCAAGACTAGGAATCTTTTTTTTTTTTTTTTGAGACAGAGTCTCGCTCTGTCACCCAGGCTGCAGTGCAGTGGCATGATCTTGGCTCACTGCAACTTCCACCCACTGGCTTCAAGCAGTTCTCTGCCTCAGCCTCCTGAGTAGCTGGGATTACAGGTGCCCACCACCACGCCCGGCTAATTTTTGTATTTTTCGTAAAGATGGGGTTTCACCATCTTGGCCAGGCTGGTCTTGAACTCCCGACCTCGTGATCCACCTGCCTCTGTCTCCCCAAGTGCTGGGATTACAGGCGTGAGCCACCGCACCCGGCCTCTTTTTTTTTTTTTAGACAGTGTCTCACTCCATCACCCAGGCTGGAGTGCAGTGGCATCATCTCGGCTCATTGCAACCTCCGCCTCCCAGGCTCAAGCGATTCTCCTGCCTCAGCCTCCAGAGTAGCTAATTTTGTATTTTTAGTAGACACAAGGTTTCGCCACATTGGCCAAGCTGGTCTCGAGTTCCTGGCCTCAAGTGATCTACCTGCCTCGGCCTCCCAAAGTGCTGGGATTACAGACAGGAGCCACCATGCCCGGCCTAGGAACCCTTTCTAAACATGGACTGGAGCAAGAATGTGCAGGGATAGGGGATGGAGTCATCAGGCTGGGCCACGGGAGGTGGGAGTGCCAGGGACTGGCTGGGCCCTGGGCACAGAGGGGTTAACTACAAAGCACATCACAGAGAGCGAGATCAATGGGTTACTGGCTGCAGAGAGAGGAAAAGGCAGCAGCAACGCAGAGGCAGAGAAGAGCCAGGCAGAAGAGCCTGCCACCTGGGGGAAATCAGGGACTGAGGAGGAAGTGGCCAGTGGCTACTCCAGAGGGAGTGCCCAACTCTAGCTCAGCACGGGGGGGGGGGGGGGGCAGAGGAGAGGAGGGGCCTTAAAGGCGAAGGGGGAGAAGTAGAAGGCAGACCAGTACCTGCAGGGAGGCACCGAGGGGCAGCTGCTGAACCAGGAGGCCCACCCAGCCCAGCCGTTCCACCCAGGATCAAGCCCACTGCCCAGGGCGAAGGTGGGTGTTGCCCATCCTGGGCTTTGGGGACCTACTGCATGCTGGGTGCTGGGGTGGGGGCAGAAATTGCCTTTCTTCCCTCCTCCCTGCCTGGCCCCCCTTTCCCCTAATTTGTCCCACCACCCCAGTAGTCCGAAGCCTGCAAGGGCATCCACAGGTAGTAGGAGACATGGGCTGCAGAGTGGGATGGGGGTGAGCATCGGCGCGGCGTGCACACACACACACAGGCACAGGTTGTCAGAGGCACCACCTGTTACAGGCTCTCAGATGAGCACTCTAGCTAAGAAGGCAGGATATCAGGGTGGTAACAGCCCCAGAGCTGCCATTCTGTGATATTGGCCTCCCATGTCCTCTCTCTGGGCCTCGATTTCCCTATGTGCAGAGAGGGAGCAGTGACCTACACGGTCTTCCCAGTTTTGCCATTGTGGTGATCTCACTATACTGAACTCTCCAATGACTCAGGGATGTTACCTGTGTTTTGCTGAGGTTACAGCTTGTAGTAAGAAAGCCCTGAACCCATGTCCCAGGGTCTTCCCTGAGCTTCAGATCCCCATTGAGAAGGAAAATATACCAGTTTCTGCACTTGCCCCTCCCCCCATCGCCACATCTTCATCCTACTTCTCTTGTGCCTTCCCCAGCCTGGTGGGTTGGAAGTGTCCCTCAAATACCTAGGTAGCCTTCCAGGCAAGACTCTAGGGGTGTTCCTTAGGAAACTGAGGAACTCTCACCCCTTGAACACCACGAGCTTGCTCACACAGTGGGACTCAGCGATGACTTTGGCTCTGCTCTCCCCTCCTCCATCTCCCACGAGCTTCCTGCCCAGAATACCTGGCCAGACCCAGGTCGGGGGAGCTAGATCCCAAGGTCAAGCAACCAGAACTGGGGGCTCTTGCCTGAGGACTCCAGCTTCTCTTCCCTAGGTGCCCGTCTGATGGGGAGATGGCTGATGCCCAGAACATTTCACTGGACAGTCCAGGGAGTGTGGGGGCCGTGGCAGTGCCTGTGGTCTTTGCCCTAATCTTCCTGCTGGGCACAGTGGGAAACGGACTGGTGCTGGCAGTGCTCCTGCAGCCTGGCCCGAGTGCCTGGCAGGAGCCCGGCAGCACCACGGATCTGTTCATCCTCAACCTGGCGGTGGCGGACCTCTGCTTCATCCTGTGCTGCGTGCCCTTCCAGGCCACCATCTACACGCTGGATGCCTGGCTCTTCGGGGCCCTCGTCTGCAAGGCTGTGCACCTGCTCATCTACCTCACCATGTACGCCAGCAGCTTCACGCTGGCTGCTGTCTCGGTGGACAGGTGCGCTGTGCCTGGGGCCTGGCTGGGCAGGGCTGTGTGGGCGGGAGTAGGGGGAGGAGTCCTGAACAGATCCTCATTGGCCTTAGGAAGGAGAGAGTGGGGGACCAGACAGGGAGGTGGGGGGCAGGAAACAAAAGCTCCCTGACCCCTCGAAAGCAGCCTCTGGGCCGCACCTGCAGGGCATGCTTGAGGGGACTGTCCTGCCCTTCCCCTCCTCCACCGTGAGCTTCCAGAGGACGCCCCTGAGTCTCAAGTGGCAGCACAGGGTCTGACATATAGTAAGTGCTCTGGCATATAGTAAGTGCTCTGTAAGCGCAATAGGAATGGCAAAAGAAGCTCACGAATGCGTTCATCAGTTT